ACCCCTTTAGGTGAGGTATCGCTTCTGGAGAGCGTTTGTAGGAGGTGTACCGTCAGTCTAGACGAGTCGGAGTTTATAGTGGATTTGATAGTGTTGCATATGTCCGAGTTCGATGTCATCCTTGGTATGGATTGGTTGTCTTCCTACCATATTAGTATTGACTGCTTTGCGAAGACAGTCAAGTTGCGAGCGTCCGACGGGTCCGAGATGATTGTAGCCGCCTCTCAGGGCAACCGACTTGCGGAGTCATTTCTGGCGTACATCGAGGAGGTGATGCGACGGGATCAGGGTGCTGAGTTATTGGAGACTAGAGTTGTCTCAGAGTATCAGGATGTCTTTCAGGACATACCTGGATCACCTCCTGTGAGGGAGGTTGAGTTCTGTATTGAGTTGCAGCCAGGCACAGCCCTGATATCCCGCGCATCCTATCGTATGGCACCAGCTGAGATGAGAGAGCTTCAGACCCAGTTGGACGAGTTGTTAGCTCAGGGCTTTATTCGCCGGAGTCATTCTCCGTGGGGCGCGCCGGTCCTCTTCGTGAAGAAGAAGGACGGTAGTATGAGATTATGCATAGATTATAGAGAGTTGAACAAGGTCACTATCCGGAATAGGTACCCACTACCTAGGATTGATGACTTGTTTGACCAGTTGCAGGGTGCGCAGTATTTCTCGAAGATTGATCTTCGTTCTGGCTATCATCAGTTGCGGGTTCGGGAGATGGATATTCCCAAGACCGCCTTTCTTACTCGATATGGTTCTTTCGAGTTCTTGGTCATGCCATTTGGATTGACCAATGCACCCGCGGTATTCTTGGACTTGATGAACCGGGTGTTCCGTCCCTTCTTAGATCAGTTTGTGATCGTTTTCATCGATGATATTCTCATTTACTCGAGGTCGGAGGCGGATCATGAGGAGCATCTACGGATAGCATTGAGGACTCTTCAGGAGCATCAGCTGTATGCTAAGTTCAGCAAGTGCGAGTTTTGGCTTTCAGAAGTCAGATTTCTTGGCCATGTTATCAGTCGAGAGGGTATAGCAGTGGACCCGGCTAAGGTCACGGCAGTTCTTGATTGGGAGCCACCGAAGACGGTGACAGAGATTCGCAGCTTTTTAGGTTTGGCTGGATATTATAGGAAGTTCATTCAGGACTTCTCGAAGATTTCGGCGCCGATTACACACCTTACGAAGAAGGGTGTACAGTTCATATGGAGCATGGAGTGCCAGAAGGCCTTTGATATTCTGAAGACTAAGTTGACTACAGCGCCGGTGTTGACTATTCCGAGCAGTGACAGGACATTTGTTGTGTATACAGATGCATCATTGGCAGGCTTAGGAGGCGTATTAATGCAGACTCAGAGGGTAGTAGCTTATATCTCACGGCAGTTGAGGGTGCATGAGCAGAACTACCCCACTCATGACTTGGATCCCACTCATGACTTCGAGTTAGCAGCAGTGGTATTTGGACTGAAGTCATGGAGGCACTACCTATATGGGGTGCAATTTGAGTTATTCACAGACCACCAGAGTCTGAAGTACCTCTTCTCCCAGAAGGAACTCAACCAGAGACAGAGGAGATGGATTGAGTTCATTAAGGACTACGAGTTCGCGATCCAGTATCATCCGGGGAAGGCGAACGTCGTAGCAGATGCCTTAAGCAGGAAGCGTCGACATCGGATTTCAGCTTTGAGGTGTTCACTACATCGGGATCTTATCACAGATTGGAGGGACCAGTGCATTCTTGGGAGCTATCTCAGTGCAGCCATCTTGGAGCGACAGAGTTGTCAGAGCTCAGTTGGAGGACTCTTGGATTCAAATCCGAAAGGAGGAGATTTCCAAAGAGCCTAAGACTGATTGGACCATCAGAGCGGATGGAGGTCTACGGATGAAGGGTAGATTGGTTATACCAGCTAGCACAGAGCTGAAGAGGGAGTTATTTGATGAGGCACACCGTACCCGGTACACAGTACATCCAGGAACCACCAAGATGTACAAGGACTTGAAGAGATATTTCTGGTGGAGCGGTATGCGTAGAGAG